GATTAAACAAGTAGATAATTAGGGCTGCAGGGTGGCGCAGTTGGTAGCACCGTGGCCTCACAGCCAGAAGGTCGCCGGTTGGCGTCCCGGTGAGGACACCCGGGATCTTCCTGCGTGGAGTCTCCATGTTCTCCCCGTGCAGTGTGGGTTCTCTCCGGGTTCTCCGGCTTCCTCCCACAGTCCAGAAACATGCTGAGGTTAATTGGTGATTGTAAATTGTCCGTAGGTGTGAATGTGAGTGTGCTTGGTTGTCTGTCTCTAAGTGTAGCCCTGTGATAGACTGGTTACCTGTCCAGGTGAACCCCTGCCTTCACCAGCCTCCAGCCCTCCCGCGACCCTAGTGAGGACTAAGCGGTGTGTTGATAATGGATGGATGGAAGTAGATAATTAATGAGTTAATTAATAAGCAAATAAATGAACAGAGAAGCAAATGAATTAGCACATTCTTCATGTGACAGAGAGATTTTAGTTGGCGTTGTGTGTGGATGAAGCCAGGTGGTGCGCTCTCCTCACATGAGATTCAGCTTCAGTCCTGATCAGCTGCCAGGCTTCAGCACTGTGACCCTACAATCACAGCAATGTCCTCAATATTCAAACATGCAAGAACTGCTGAAGTAAAGCATCATATCTAACCGCAGATTAACGGAGACTCACCATTCTGTTCAGGATGTGATCCGAGAGTCTCTTGAAATACATGTGCAGCTTTCTGTTCTTCTTCTTGTGGCCCCCAATCTGAAATAATTACAAGAAAACAGAATATATTTAGAAATGAGCTTCTTCTTGCTCTGTATTAAGGTCTGCCAGGACTTTAGTGTTTCTGAAGCTTACACAGGAGCTCAGTTCATCAGCCTGTTGGCTGACAACAAGGAGAAAGTTCTCCACCGTGCGGTTCTCCCATGATGCAGAGCTGTGGTCCTCCTCAAACAGGGCAGCCACCTCCTCCAGAATCTGAACTACGAACGCAAGTTTATCCTGGGCCTGGCAGAAGAGGGTCACCCACACATTACTACAGGAGCACATTTATGCCACTTTCAGATCAAAAACTGCAAACATATTAACATATACACCAGGAGCAATAACACACTCTCTTGTATTTTGCACTTTTTGTGCACTTTTAGCTCACCGATGCGCCGGACGCCTGGCTGTACAGCTCCTCAGGGAAGGACACGGTGGGCCCATCGTCAGTGGCGTTGGTGGAGTTTGTAGCCTGCAGTCCCACACAAACATCATCATGTTAAAGCAAACAGACACTGAAGTAGATTCATTGAACATTCAATAACACTGTAAACAACATGTAAAGTTGTGCACTTACCATGGCCTCCAGCTCATCCAACATCTCTTTACCAAACTGTTGGAACTTGTCCTTCATCCATCTGCAGGTCAGCGAGGAGCCTGAACTGTACAGACCGAGAAACAGGCAGGCAAAGAAGATCCTGTTGAGCATCTTTAAAAAGGTAGAAATTTCCCTTTGTGTTGAAGAAACTGTGATCGAATGCGTCCTGGTGTTCTGATGGAGCCGACCTGCAGCACCTCCTTTATGGCACAGCGCACCTATTTCACTTTCCTGACATACACCTGCAGGGAAACACTGGCTGAACTGTGGCTTTCACCTGAACATACAGGTATGTCACACCTTTCAGATTTCATTCTGTGTCCTAATGATAAAATAAAAAAAACCCATAGAGGAGAGTAAACATATTAAACCACAGAAATACTCATTATAAAACACAAATCAAATGATTATCTTCTGAACAGCTTCCATATTGAAAATGAGGGTGTGTCTGGCATAAAACTCCCAACATCTAAAGTTAATTATCTTTGAATGAAAGCTATGGATGATTTTGGGCTGTTTTTCATTGACACGTTGTTTGTTCTTAAGCTGTAGAAATTGCATCAGGGCTTCTTTGTGGCTTCATAACAATCATCCACCAATAAAAGCACAAGCACTGATTGCAGTGTGTCCATAAAGGGGAAGTTCCTACAGAGAGAAAATGAAAGAGAGTGTGTGACGGCGACCTGCACTCTGACGTTCATTCAAAGGAAGCTGTCAGTGGTATTTCACTTTATTCTGACTAGAACCTGAGCGGGGATTCACCTTCACCTTTTTTTTTTTTTGGCAGAGTGTGATAGAAATCTAGATGAAAGCCGAGTCCTAAAATCAATTAGGTAGCTTTAAAGAATGATAAATGTGTTTCTTTCCTTATGTTTCCTTACTGCTGTTGCAGTTGACTTTTTCTGAGGAAATTCCCAAAACACACCTCATCAAAAAAATCCATTTACAAAATCTTGGATCAAGTTGGATCAACTTAAATTAACTGAAGTAAATGTATACAAAGTTAGTTAGCTAGCAGTTTCTATGCCACTGGATCACGTCCAGAGTTCTTAAACCATTTGGTTCCTCTTTAATGAACTGCTGCAGCTTAAGTTTAGGAAAAGTCAGCTTGAAGATTCTAATTTTTCCAAATAACTTCATCACTAGACTCACTGTGCTTCTCTTTTCTGTCCTATTCCTATTCAAAGAGAACAGTGGCTGATTTACAGCAGAGAAATGTCGAGAAGCATGAAACAAACTGGCAGAGCCTGGTATGAATTCATGTTTTACAATTTAAAAAAAGAACATCTGGGGACAGCATCCAAGAAAAACCCTCCTGCTTGCTGTTTGGCAAATAAAAAAAAGCAAGACGACACTTTGCTAAAGAAGCGTAATGAATTGTTGTGGCCACATTCTTTGGTCAGATGACGGTCAGGACGTACAGCCGTCCTCAGATGTGTTCATCCTCTTCCATTAAGGAAAAGGCAAAACTCACAACACTCACTCAAATAACTAGAAACTGAAAAAAGTAAGAATAAATAAATATTTGGGCCCGTATTTCTAACTAATGAATTCAAACTGTTAGTTTTTAATTTGACATAAGAGCAAATGCTCAAAAGTTCAGCTTAGAAGTAATGCAGTTACTGTAAAGTTTTGAATAACTTGCAGTCATTATGGACACATCTGGCTTGTTCAGAGTACGTTTATGCCACCGAATAAAACGTCATGCCCTATTTAAACTGACTCTGAAGAGTCAGCAGCTGTAGTCAGTGGTAATTGCTCAGAAGTTCAGAGGTCACACCACTAGGAAAATTTGATAAACACAACTTACCACATAAACTGATATATGTTTTGACCCAGCGTTCACAGAAATCCCTGCTTCATAGAAAATAAAGAGTTGCAGGATTCATCAGAAACTCAAGACAAATGCACCTTTTGTTCAGAGCTGTTTATTAGGGATAGGCAGATTACCAGCCTTGATGATTATTATGGCTGATAATTGGCATTTTTCTAATTATTGGTATCTGTATTTTTATTGACTGATGATTGATAAATTAAATGCGCTACTTCAGGTGCGATGCTGCCACCTCTCTCTGTCTGGAGTCACTCTGTGGACTCAGAAATCTCTCTCAAGCAGAGAGCGCAAAAACTGAACAAGAAACACAAACTCTTGCTACAAACAAGAAAATTAGCAACTCTCACAGTGGCTACGGCTATGCTGATAGCTAGCGGCTAAGTTAGGAGGCAGCCATAAATGACTCAGAAACAGAGTATGGAAAGCAATAATTATTAAAGCTTTAGGGTACAGACAATCAAAGTGATGAAACAAACAGAACATCAGACGTAACTGCAGGAGACAAACTGACCAATCTCAATCGATTGAACTCATTCATTCACTCATATGTCTACTTCACATGTTCAGTTATAGTCACTTTTATTAATAGGGATGCACGATATATCAGCAACCATACTGGTACCGGCCAATATCAGTGTTTTTTCCCATATATCGATATCGGTCCGATGAACACATTTAGCTGCTGATTGTCTAACGTCAGCGCCTTCGTCTCTACGTTTGATATCGCTGCTATTTCACAGATGTTTTTACTTAAATGGACTAGAACATTAAATATGTTTAAACATGTTTTACTTTTGTTACAACATAAAGAAGACCATGTGGTCTAATTTGGGTTTCTTTAGAATAGTTCTCACGTTCTCACAGTGCATATACTCATTTTTCGGCGTGAACAAAAGCTAAACATCGTCATCGCTAATATTGGTTATCGGTGATATCAGAAGTCTTAATATCGCATATCGGTATCGGCCAGACATGTTAATATCGCGCAGCACTGCTTGTTGTGAATAAGCCAAGCTGGGAATGACAGGTTCTCTGCTCCCACATGCTGCTAGAACATGTCTATCAGGTCCAAGCATTGGTTATCAGCCATTTGTGATTACCAACAACCACAACTGATGTGGGCTCTAAAAATAAGACATAAAACATATAAAAGTAATAATAAGTTATGTTATTGCTATTTTATTATTCATATCAACTTTTAACTTGTTTTTCTTAGACTGACCATATTTATGAAGGGACATGGAGAAAGGAAAAAAACAGGGAGAGGAAAAACATGGAGGTGCCCTTTTTCTTGCTGAACTGTAGGTATGTATACTTCTGGGTCGTTTTGGCAGTCTGGAGAAACGACAATGGAGGAAACGCAGCCGGACGAGAGTTTCATTTTGAAATTGGCCTAAAATATAAAGCCAAGGCTTAGCAGGAGGCCCAGAGACACGTCTGTAAAGATGTCAGCAAAGGGGACACACTGGTGGCCAGTCCTGCTCTGACCATCCTGATGGACTTCATAGGCAGCGGACTACAGTCCTCTGCTGCTTCATCATGTCATACCTCTCTCTGGTTTTTTCTTTTCTCCATGTCCCTTCCGGGGCTCCGTACATATTAGTTGCTACAATGATGATGCTAAAGTAAATTTCGTGGTATTTTTTGTACAATGACAATGACGTTTCTAATAATAATGATAATAATAATGAATATCGGTCGACGCAGCTGCTGGAGTAAATCAGTGCTACGACGTGCGGTGTTGGAGCAGTGCTGCCCTCTTGTGGCCGCTGGCGGAGCCGCACCTCCTGGCTGTACCAAAACAACAGCGAGCGGTCCAGCCTCCTGTCACACATCCCGGTGTGTCAGAGCCGAGCCGTGCGGTCCTCTGGGAAGAGCGCAGCTGATGCAGCTCATAGTCTACAAAATTAAATCAAGTTCACGCTTTGTCGACGAGCACATTTCTGAGATATGAGTCAGCGTAACTCCGTTTCCAAGGTAAGAGATTCCGTTCTCGCGAGCCCGGCTAGCTTCGGCTAATGCTACTAGCTTGCTCACCGGCGCTCCAGTAACTGTCACTAACGCAGCGCTCGTGTGCTGTCATGCGGACAACTAACCGTTTGGTTAGCGCTAGTTTACGCGACGTTACTGCCCCAGACTGGTAGGAGGGCTGTGGCATTGGGGGGGTTCGGAGCGGAGCCTTACGTTAGCCGGTTAACTTTTCATTGACATTGAGCTCCAGAGGAGCCGCGGTTCTGGGTTCTGCCATCTCTGCCCCACTGACATACATGCTGGAGCCTGTAGGTGTCTGCTCAGCTTCATGGACTCCATTGTGAGTCCACTGTGAGTCCATCCAGTCGAAGACCTGCCTCATGCGGCTCGGCGGCAGCATCACGCCGCGACCGGCCCCAGACACGCTTTCAGAACTTGACACGAACCTCCGAAAGGGGAGCAGCTGGAGCTGACGTGGATGTGTCGGCTCTAACCGAACAGAACGGCGGTACCGTCTATTGTTGTCTGCTGGGCCGGTTATCTGCACCGGCCATCTGTCACTCAGACTTGTGCTGTCTGACCCGCTTACTGCAGACAGCCGGAGGCAGATTAGCCTGGTCCTGGAGACTGAGGAGGTTTTTCATAAAATGTGATTGTCTACAGATCCCACCTTTACAGTATTATTATTAATAGCACATTTGATTTTGCCTTGTTTGTCCTTAAATCCCAGGTATGTGTTTCCTGAATGTGACGCTAGTAGCTGATTAGAATAATCAGATTTAATTTGGATCTCAATATTGCATCTGCCTCAAAAGCAGTGAGAGCATTCCTACAATCTGTGACACAGCAAAGTAGCAGCACGTCTTCTCTGGATGAGCTCTCATCAGGCTGACTCTCTGATGACGTGATGTGATGCCAACATCCACTGATCAGTTTGTACCTTCACCATCTAGTGTATAAGTACTGGTACTGAAGCGTTAATATTGCATTATGGCTATCTTAACCTGTTACTTAATCCCCCTCAGCGCCTCCTTCTTCAGCGTCTTTGTTTTGCTTCCAACAATGTCACCCCACCTACTGGACTACTCCCGGTCATTGACCCTTAGGAAGCCCAGTTTTTTCCTCCCCCCATCTGTGTGGTGTCACCTACGACCACCACAACACTGCAAAAGGACAATGGCTCAGAGTGCATTCATCCATTGCTGGACACCAATTAGGCTGGAGGTTTTTTGCCAGAAGGCATGCGTGTGGGTCTTCTTATTCACAGAAGGATGGAGTTACACGTCTACTGCACAGCGTTTGGTGTGCGAGCAGTCATTGACAAAATGGCTCACTCACCTATTTCCAAACTAATCCGGGACACTAACCACGATGTTTCCTGTTAAATATCTTTGGACTCTATTTGCAGATTCTCTCCGGACTTTACATGTACTCAGATTTGTATTGTTAATGTGCAAATAGTTTGGTGTCGCATTAGCTTGTAAAAGTCATGATGATGACTACTAGTAGTCCTGGTAAACTTCTCCCAGCGTGTTTAATATTCACAGTGCATCAACCATTTTTCTCTCTGAAAGAGGCTATAGGTGCAGTTTTGTCATTTACTCAAGTATAATACACATTTGTGCTTATCAGATTCATAAGATATTGGAAATTATATGAAAATGCGTGGATTTCTGTCAGATAAGTAGCAGTATCGTTGCCTTTAGCGCATGCAGCTCGGTCATGCCTAATGTTGTGCATAGTCACCCCCCAAAGGCCCATTTTGAGTCTGCAAGTCTGCACAAAACAGCAAGAACAACCTATTGATTACATGTTTGTGCATGAAGCACCTTGACCTGCTCACTGATATCCATCTATGGCCTTATCCTGGTTCTGAAAAAAACTGGATATGCCGTCTGAAAAACGGAAATATGGGTTTATTAAAATCCTCCGGCCTTCTGTGTTCAGTTTGGCCCGGTGGATGTACTGATGTGTCAGTGCTGTCGTCTAATACCTGCTGGTGAAAGATCCATTCTAAGGTGATCCAAAGCAGAGAACAGTTTGGCTATGGCCAGCACTCCAGACATGGTTGGTCCTGATGTTGCACATCTCCATAGTAACGGGAAGTTAACAGGACAGGAACCAATGTAATGTGGGACCACTGATATGTAGCACAAACAAAGCAGAATAATTACCTCAGTCCTCATATTTGCCTTTTCTTGCAGTGGCCACGACTACTAGGTTGGCCTCTGGACAAATGTTTAAAATTGGAGCAGCCAGTGATTCGTACTCCTGTTGTAATGGTTCAGGTGGTCATCCTGGCTTCCCTCATGTGGTAGACCGTCGTGCTGCACAGCTTGATGGGAGATAAAACTGACTTTCTGAATTCCAGAATCAGCTGTTGACCTTCAGATAAAGTGCTGTGCGCTCACACCAACTGGCTGCCTTTGATAAACCTTCACTTGTCTTGTAAAGGAAACCTGCTTGTCTCATGCGGCTGCTGCTTCTGCTGATAAAACTGTTAATTACTGGATGCTGGGGTTCTCCGATTCATATTAAGGAGCAACTTTGTTCAACAAAGTTAATTTGAATTAAAAGTTTTGGCTTAAGCAAGATTTTTGTCAGCTGAAATTGTTTAAGTCAACAAAACCTTTTTCAAGATGAGGAGCCTGGATTGACATTTATAGAAGTCTGTTTGTCTGACATGCTTGAGTGGTGTAGAAAAGGAGGAAGCCTTTACCCTAAATGCAGCACAAAATTAGAGAAGTACAGCTCTGACAGATATATGGGCTGTGCATGCAGACGAGGCAGAAGGCAAAACCAACAGAAATGACTCCAGCAGTTTGAGGCAGTAGAATCTGCTTTGAACTCATCTCAACTGTCAGGTTTGTGGGTGTAGTTTACCCTCTGCTGTTGATTGTTTTTAGTAATTCAAACGTGATGCTGACATTAAATCTGGTCTAACCGGAGTAAACGTGTTGAATGAACCCCGCTGGTCGGGCCATGCCTCATGTCGGCGGCGCTAGTGAGGCTGCTAACGTCGACTCTTCATCATCAGCGCACCTCGTTTAGATCTACATGCATACATTAGACAGCATATTGCAGAGAGCAGCTCATTTGTGTTTCACCAGGTGGTCAGAAAAACCTGCATCCTCATCATATTTGAGCACATTTTCCTCCTCTCCTTTAAAAGAATAAGCAGCGTGGCAAATGTGTATTATCCTGTTTCCACTAGAGATTTAAATCTTGCATTTGATTCTAACAGTGCACATTTGGCTAAAACTGACTGGAGGTCCAGTTATTTATTTTTTAGCTTTTTAGTTAAAGTTAATAGTGTATAGAGTTGACTTCTCGATGGCAGACATAAGCTAATCCATAGGATGGTGCGTTAAAGTGGCCATGAAGACAAAATATACCAGTAACCTCTATAGATCCTAGTTAGAGGGTTAGGGTTAGGGTATCCAAACTACATAAGAAGCCCGACTCCTCCCGTTTTTAACAGCTGGATGAGCAACAGAATGAGGTGCTCAGATTTTGATGGAGATCCCATTAAAAGTTTGATCTGCTGTAAGCTGTTGTCAGTAGTTTATTAAGATGCATGTCATTTATTTGAAGTACAACGTAGCTGATTTGTGGTTGCTCATCAAAATATCGTCTGACATGAGGTAAATAAACAGGTGGTAATGTTGCTTAGAATATTAACAGGAGCGATGGCTGCAGTCAGATCATTTAAAATGTCCCCTTATGATGTCTTGTGTCTTGTCAGCTTGCCAGCTAGTGGTGTGTGATCTGGAGGGAGAGGAAAGGACAGCAGAGACCATGGAGCTGTCCGACGGCTTGTTGCTGCAGGTCAACAATGGAGAACAGTGGTGTAACCGGTGGAAACATCCCAATGAGGACTCGGTAAGCCACAGACCTGCAGCAGGACCAGCACTACACATCATGTCAGATTCAAGGCAGTAAAGCATGCATATGTTCTACAGCGCAGCTTGTTGGAGGCTTTTTCTTTCTCCCTAACTGGTTTTGGTTTGTAGGACCGCAGCACCAGCCCGTCAGTGCTCCGCTGTGTGGCCAGCACGTGGAAGGAGGGTCTGCTGAACAGAAAGAGGCCCTTTGTGGGCCGTTGCTGTCATTCCTGTACACCACAGAGCTGGGTAAAGTTACACCACAGTGAACTGGAGTTCATGTGCTGGAGCATTATTGGTTCTGCTGTAAAAGCATGGGACTAAAAATAAGGCAAATATGCAGCAGACAGTCCCTGGCAAAAAAAACAAAACTAAAAACTAAAATTCTGGCAATTTAAAGACACAAGAGTTCAACTCCAGTACGGTTTAATATGAAAATGAATTTAATATGACTCAGCCCCAAGCTTTGCTTTATGTCTAATTTTAATGACATTTTGTGAGTTGATATTTAAATAACGGTAACAACTCATTATTGGATTATCTACTCAACTTGCAGACCCCATAATATTGATGTGATCAGTGTGAAAATGCTCAGTGGAGTTTCTGTTGGAGATGCTGCTGACACTGACTCTTGTTGTTGTTGCAGGAGAGACTGTTCAACCCCAGTATTCCATCTCTGGGACTGCGTAACGTCATCTACATCAATGAGACGCACACGAGGTAAACAAAGTGAAATCTAGTCCTTCTCTTCCACGCCGTGCTCCTCTGAGCTGTCCATTGGCCTGGCAGGAGGGACATATTCAACTTTTCAAACTCCATGTCAAGGTGGTTGACTTTTATGTGTTGTTCTGGCATCTGATGACCCGTCCGGCTTGCCAACTGCACCTGTAGGCCACAATCAGTACCGTTCAGGCACATGCTAGCCTTTTTACCAACCTGTGTATAATGAATGACTTTAAGTCATGAGGACCGATCTGTGAAACAGTGGAAAGGTAGACAGATGAATAATTTATAGTGTTTGTCAGTGGACACCGGACACATGCATCCAGTGACTGACCTTAGCAGGCAAAACTCAAAGAGACACCACAGTACCTCGGCCCCAGCGATATAAACACGAGGCTGGCGTTAGTCTAGATGGTGTGATGTTTCCACGGTAGTCCTGTGACTATAGCTACACCAGTGATACCTGTTCGCAGTTGTGCTCCAGACTGTGTGGGAAAAATAAGATGTAGTTATTATTCTGAATCGGACTGTAACTTAAGACAGTTCATTTTAAGCTCACACTGTCTGTGTTGTGCTATGTATAAACATTAGGACAGGAGCTGCCATTATGGAGAAAGCTGTGTGTGGCGGATACGTCAGCCTGAGATGCTCTCCTGGAAGTGTGTGAAATTACCAAGAAAACTGTGGAAGTCTGGCAAACCTTTAGCGCACCTATTTAAGCATACCTTTTATTTTGTGTGTTTTTGTGCAAATTCTATACAAAATATGTTGCTTCTCTCATTTCTTTCGTGTAGCCACGTTCTATTTAAGAACACGTTTTACTATTGTTGCACTTCTCAGTATTTCTGGTTTGTGTGTTCCTGCAGACAGCGAGGCTGGTTGGCACGCCGGCTGAGTTATGTGCTGTTCGTCATGGAGAGGGACGTCCACAAGGACATGTTCGCCAGGAACGTGGTGGACAATGTGCTCAACAACAGCAGGTAGGAGTCAACGCAACATGAGACATGTGAAGGAACTCATTTCAAAGACCTATGTGATGCCCTTGTGGGAGCACAAACCCAAACCTGGGCGATACGACCACGATTTTACAATACAGCAGCTGAAAGCACTGAAGTCATTGCAGTGTGAATAAAGAATAAGTCACATCTCCATAGAGAAAATAGCACTCATATCTTTGGAATGATTTGTTTGTAGGCTCCAAGACACAGCCCTCATGTTTGTGCTCTGCTTTGTTGATTGCAGGGTGGAGACTGCTATTGTGAAGGTCGCCACAGATTTGGACGCTGCAAGCAGCCAGCCTGGCCAGGAGCACAAAGCTGTCAGTAAAGTGAAGCAGAAAGCCAGGGCCTTCCTCCAAGAGATGGTGGCCAACATTTCACCAGCTTTTATCAGGTGTTTATATTGTCTGCTTATGGCAATACCAGAAGGAATTGTCTCTAACCCTAACCCTAGAAAGAGCCTCACACTAACAGACTGTATGACGGTGCACGGGGTTGCCGGGTGAGCAGATAGAGGGATGTAAACAACAACCACTATGGCATGTGAAAACTCCCCGGGTATGTACTGTGGGCATAGCCTCAGCGTTACCAGTTCAATATGGGGCTGCAGATAGGTTCCTTTACAGCAATGTGAGCAGGCCAACAGCATTTGTTGTTAATAAAAGCAGCAAGCCCCCCCGCCTGTGCCCTTACCACATTCTCATTTATTCCTGCTGGAAAGCTGTCGGTGGTAATGATGGGATGCAGAGTAATTCCTGTCGCCATGTCTTTGTTCAGCACTAATGGAATAATATCAAGTATTGTCACGGTGCCCGCGATGAAAGAAGGGAGACACGTTCTGTCTCCTCTCCTGCATCCATCTTTGACGTCTGGACACAGCTCTTGTATTCATGGTTTCATCCTCCTTCTATATCCTCAGTTATACCCTATGTCAGTTGTTGTTCTGGTCGTCATGCTAGCCGACCGGCTTCAGCAAGAGCAGCTGTTCCCTGGTGTCAACCATGTGAGCATGGAGCAGCATTGTAAAATGAAAGAGGCAATAACACGGCAAAAAAACAGAGCAAACGCCTCCCAAACAGCATGCGTAGGGCTGCCACAGTTCAACAGAGTCCCCAGATTGGGATATCGTAACCCAGCCTTCTAAGGAACGCTTCAGAGAACACCCACCGTTAAACTGCAGCGAGGTTTCATTTCCTGTAGAATAAAACAGGATATATGTGCTCTGGAGTAGATTGTACCACAGCAGGACTTTGACTCGTTGTCTTTGTTCTACTTCTTCACTTTTCTTTTTGTTCAGGCTGACAGGGTGGGTGCTTCTGAGGCTATTTAATGGCTTCTTCTGGAGCATCCAGATCCACAAGGGACAGCTGGAAATGGTCAAGAAAGCTGCTACAGAGGTCAGCGGCAGCAACTACACACAAGAGAAAACTGATTAAACTGTCAGAGCATGACCCGCTACATAAAATGTGCAAGACTGCCTTTTCTATAAATATTGTACACTCATTTCTGACAGCTGAGCACGCTGTTTAACAGGCACGCTGCAGCGCAGTCCACAAACTGACACAACATGCTGCATGCACACAGTCTTACCCACAGATTGTTGTGTGTCCTTTAGCCACTGCTAAGCAGCTCTTAGCAGAGCAGTCTTTTGTATTGATCACTACAGAGACTGTGAGGATGTAACTGCTTACTACACATATAGATGTGCTATATCACACTACACATATAGTTGCTTGCATGTGATGTGGTCTACCTATCGTCTGCTCTTCTGTGTATCATGATAAATGTGCTTCATACTCCCTCTAACCAGAAGAGGCTTGATTGTTGGTTGACAACAACCGTAGCTGGTTTAGAGAAATGCTCTGTGTTTGTTTCATCAACTCATCTGCTGTGTGTTTTGTTTCTGCAGCAAAATGTGCCCATGGTCTTCCTCCCTGTTCACAAATCTCACATCGACTACCTGCTCATCACGTTGATTCTGTTCTGTCACAACATCAAAGCCCCACACATCGCTGCTGGGAACAACCTGAGCATCCCCATCCTCAGGTAAACAGACCGGGACGCCTCCTGTCAGGACTCCTCTGGCAAAGAAGTTGTGTTTCTGCTTTCTGTAAGTGAAAAAGATCAGTTTGATATCAGAAGAAAGGAATTTCCCTGCAAATATATCGGACAGGAAAGCTGAACTGCTGATGGTGAATCTGTTTCATCTTGACCTGCTTCAAGTCGTATTTGAGCTTGTACGACTCCTCGTGTACAGCTTTGGACATTAATTCTTAGACCTGCTGTTGGCTTCTTTTAAAGTCTACACAACAGGCCTGCAATGATAATTTAGTTTGAGTTTCACCAGAGCGGTTCAGTAATTATGGTGTTGGAGTAATTCAATCTATGAACTGTGAAAGCTTCAGAACTAACACTAGATCCAGTTATTTTGTGCCAAGCTGTAAACTCAACAGAGAATCCAACCTAATTTAAAAATGAATCTTAGAATGGATCAGAAACACAGCTGACAATATCAGCCGGTAAATAAATGCAATCTAATGATCACAGTTTCTTAGAAGCAGCGCTAAAGTGAAGTGACTCCTTTAATCAGGCGCCGTCTGACCCAGATCACTGTCCTGCGCTACTTATTGGACCATCACAAATGTGAAGATGCATTTACTGACGGCAGTATGTCAGATGTTTGGGATAAGGATGCCACTGCTGCCCATGCAGAAGGTTTAGGACAGCAGACACTTGATAAAACTTTTTTTTGTTTTCAGCACCCTGATCCGTAAACTTGGAGGATTCTTCATACGCCGGAAAATGGAGGAGACCGGGGATGGAAAGAAAGACGTTTTGTACAGATCACTTTTACATGCAGTAAGTCACTTTAGAAACTGGCTGTCTTCATGCTTTGTGCTCTGTGATGAGAGAGTTAAAAGCCTTTGTTATATAATGTTGGCCCGGCTATTCTTCCCTCTGCTCCGGGCTTTCATTGATGGTGAAGATTATAGCCGACTTTCACTCAGTGTGGCGTTTAATCTTATGAAGAAGTTCTTGAGATGCTGCTGCAATCCTGTAGTGTTTGCTGTCAAAGTGAGATGTACTTGGCTGTTTTTCTTCTCTGTCGTGAACTAGGTCCTTTCCATTTTAGCATCGGGGTAGTTTTATACATCATCTTGGAAGCCTTGTTTGTAATTTCCCTTCAGGTTTTCGGCATTGCATAGTTAGCAGACGTGCAGCCTTGCGGCCGTGTCCATTTGTTGCTACCAGTGGTCACGGCTTTGGCTTCTGTGCTGCTGGAGTCCAGGGCAGGTCAGGGTAAAGCTGCAAAGGCATAGCAATTTAAGTTAACTGCCATTTGGGAAGTTTTTATGTTGAGGATTTTAAAAGCAGTGTCATGTAACAGTTCCTTGGCTTTTAATTTAAGCCTTGACACTTAGAAATACACCTCACTCTGATGTTGTTTAATGTGTCTGTAGACTGCTTCGGGAAGTAGAGAGGCTAGTAAATCTGGATTTGACCCTTTTGTTTGCTGTAGTATTTGAGTAATACACATGAACCGTCTAAACCCAAAGCACAATTTTTCTGCTTGTTGCATTTGTATTCACCGTGGGCTCATTTTTCACTGCAGGTAACGTCCTGCTTCTCTATGGAACCAGCTCAGCTATGGCTGGAACTACAGAGAACTCAAAAAACATATTTTATGCAGTGTAACTAAATTATAATACCATAAATCATTTTTTAAAAAGTTGAATTTCTTTGATAATTTGTTGTACAAAAATAGAAAAGTGTTGTACATTTGATTTAGTGTTTGTGCCCACAGGTGTTACTAACCCTAACAAGCGGTGACGCTACATGCTGTAGATGATTTACTTTGTACATTTTTCATTTGTTTCCATCCCTGTTGCTTTGTGTAAACACAGCCTACAGATGAGCCAAGTTCAGCTGAAAAGTCCCTGAACTTTTGTCACATGACTGCTGAACACAGCTGCATCATTCAAGGAGCACAGACAGTTTTGGTCTTTACACAATTTGTTTAGAGCAGGACTGCAGGTGGATCAGTGGTTAGCACCGTGGCCTCACAGCTAGAAGGTCGCCGGTTCATGTCCCGGTGAGGACACCCGGGATCTTCCTGCGTGGAGTCTCCATGTTCTCCCCGTGCAGCGTGGGTTCTCTCCGGGTTCTCCGGCTTCCTCCCACAGTCCAGAAACATGCTGAGGTTAATTGGTGATTGTAAATTGTCCGTAGGTGTGAATGTGAGTGTGCTTGGTTGTCTGTCTCTAAGTGTAGCCCTGTGATAGACTGGTTACACGTAAGTCACTTGAGTAGTTCAAGGACATTGCAAAGTTTGAATTGTGTTGTTTCCTCCTGTTTTTATAGTTTCTTACTGATCAATGGTAGAATTGTGATTTTTCTTTTAATACCATGCATTTTTGGGTTCAGAGGGTTAACAATCTTCTGCTGGTGAGAAAATCTGAAGGAGAACGAACATCAAGGACTTCTGTTGTGAATATTAATGCTTTGTCACCAAAGCTACTTGTAGCACAACAACAACAACAACAACAATACTTAAAATATGCTTTCTATAAAAAAAGCAAGGTGTCTGTGGACGTGCTAAATTGTCAGAGATGATCAGAGTTGCAAATTGCTATTAGTTTGCATCTTTGGAAGGAGCAATGAATAATGACGGCAGCACATCCTGTGCATTGTGCCTCTAAGATGAGTTTGCATTGTGTCTCCAAGATAAAAGTTATCAGCTAAAGACACGAGCAGCTGTTTGAAATGATGAGCCGCAGTTCGCCCCATTGTACCGACAACAGTTTACCTGACATCCCGCCAAACAGAGTGCACAAGTTGCCACTGCTATTGTGGAAAGAGGAGCAAGTAATAGAATTTGGTAAAAGATGAGATTTTAATCTGGCATGCCTGTGTCGCTTACAGAAAGGTAATTAGCCAAACTCCCCCACAGGCTGAAGTGCAAGTAATAAGAAAGCCATGTGCTGCTCCAACTCCAGTTGCTTCCCTGAAAGCCGAACCTGGCTGTCTGTCCTCTTCACAGCTTATTCTGTTTGCTACAGCCTGGTCTATTTCAGGACAAGCTTCTCTTCTCTTCTCAAAGTGCAAAGCAGGAGACAGCTGTGTACATACTGTACTCAGGAGGATATCTTTGCACAGCATGGCCACCTTTGCATGAGCCCAGTTCCCTGCTCTGTGTATCAGGGGTCAAACTGATGGCTAACACCACACTTTTTTAACTGTTTTTCAGCCTGCGTGTCACATTAGCTGCATAGCCATGACTCCACTCTATAATGGATTCGGTTTTATGTTTTACAATATTGGAAATTTTCAACAAATTGAATTTTCACCAAAAGTGCCCTGACCTTCACACACAGCGTTTGCTCATTTGTCTCACTTGTGACTCACAATGGCACCTTTTTACATTCACCTTCATGGCACCCTTCCCAGCTGAACATTTCTATCTGTTTCATCAATCTTTCTGCAGTACACGGAGGAGCTGTTGCGGCAGCAGCAGTTTTTGGAGGTCTACCTGGAGGGTACCCGGTCACGCAGCGGTAAACCGTCTCCAGCACGTGCAGGCATGCTGTCAATCGTGGTTGACACACTGTGCACCGGGTCCATCCCAGACGTGCTGGTGGTGCCAGTTGGCATCTCATACGACCGCATTATTGAAGGCAACTACAATAGTGAACAGCTGGTAAGCTCTTGGATGATGTGTGTTGTTTGCGTGCTTTCTTTTGTCATGTAAAAGCGCAGAAGAATGGAGTAGAACGTTGTTTGGCTTTTGAATTTGTGACTTAATGAAGGGAGGAAATATTGTCACACAACTGTGTTTTTGACACAACAGCCTTTTGTTTTGAGATAAACAGCTTTCACTGTGTTGTGTTGAAGTCTAAATTCTAACTGTTGGACCTCCTCTTTCCCTCCAGGGTAAGCCCAAGAAGAACGAGAGTTTGTGGGGAATAGCTTGTGGCGTGTTCAGGATGCTGAGAAAGAACTACGGCTGTGTCCGTGTTGATTTTAACCAGCCCTTCTCCCTGAAGGTGACTGATGACACACCTATCTCACTGTTTATAACCCTGTGATTATTTAGTGCCGGCTTGTTGATTTCAAGTATTTCTTTTGATTTTAACACATTGAAAAGAACTGAAAAGCTTCCAAATTGCAAAAAGTAATTTAAATTACACAAAATTAAATTCTGAAATATGCTTTAATGGACCAAAAAAGGTTTGTCACCAATACTAAATTCCTTCTCTGTTTGTAATTAATCTCAAATGTAGGAGTACCTGGACAGCCAGAGAAGCCGCCATATTCCACCGCCGGTGTCCCTGGAACACAACTTGATGCCCACCATTATTTCTGCACAGTAAGTGCAAATGCACATTCCCCACCTTCAGTATCTCTGCACGTGCCCAGTTCTTACGCACAAACCCACATTCCCACATTCTTAAAAGTTGCAGCCTTCATGCCCCAACTTGATTTTTGCCTTCCTGCTGCTTCACAACAAGGTCCTGCTGTTTGACATCTGAGAGCAGCTCTATAAGTTGGTACTGCCAGGGGTCACTCAAGTTCAAAGCTGTCCCTTCATAATAAAACTGATGCTGTCATGGAGCACTTTCACAAGGACAGCTGCAGTCTACCCAGCTGGTCTGGAGTCACAAGTTCAGAATTTCTGCCTACAGAGGGGATTAAAACTCACTTCAGACCTTTTGCATACAAGTTGCATTGAATACTATTTCAGCACTCGCATGCCCAATAGCAGCTCGTCATGTCTTGATACTGTGATTGGTTGAGGCATGCAGTGGCTACACCATAAACCTGCAGATAACAGGGTCAAGAGGGTCATGGTAAATTTATGATAGCATTTGGTGAGATATTAACTGATGCATGTATTTATTTACCACTAGTGGCGGATTATTTGCAGCATAAAGCGATGACCCAGAGAAGTAGCACACAGGATGAAGCCCTTTTTGTTTTTTATCAACAGTCATGTCATGGTATTATTAACTGTCTGCTTACACTTATTTCCACTTCCCCTCTCATCATGCTCCTTTCTAATGGACATTTCTAGCGTCTTGTATGGGTTGGTATAGACTCAGGGTCTCCCTTGAAACTGTGATCTCAGTGGAACATGCATAACTAGAAGGTGTATACATACATGCACAGTGTATTTTAAGTCCCTGTTGAATCCTTGTGTCTTAAAGTATGCAAAACTATTGATGTCATCGTAAAACCACATGTTGGCTTGTTGTTCTTCCAGGCCTGATGCTCAGCTGTTTGAGGGCCAGGAGGAGGAGCAGATGAACAGAGAGCTGCCCGATGACATATTTAGACGGCAACTCATCAACAATCTGGCCAAGCACGTCCTCTTCAGTAAGTACATTTACTACTCCACAGCTAGTGGATTTATTGCAGCCTAACTATAGCTATATATATGTTGGATTTTCCAGCGTGCTTCAAAGTCAAGGTGCATCTCAGCATCTTTACTTTATAGCTAGACATCACGTCAGCCATTCAAAGTCTTCCAACCGGGGTGCCACATTCAGCTATTTTTAATTTGGGACTATTTACTCATTCACATGTCACTTGTTAAAAATATCAGGCCATGTGTTCTTTTGTCTTCTTTAAGCACAAGAGTCTCCTTTTCACCCCGTGTTAAAGGTGCACCTGCTTGCCCAGGGAGCGCTCATGAAATGCTATCCATCATGCTAATTGAAATCCAACACAACACGGCACAGCATCAGTCCATCCGCTCCACATCACTCAGGGTGTTCTGCCCCAGGGCAGCGCTACACAAACCGGTTCTCCCCAGCTCATTCAGCTGCATTCTCCTATGCTGGCTGTTTTTTTTTTTTTTTCTCTTTTTTTTTTCTTCCAGCCAATCACAGAGCCTCCAGCTGGATGGCATGTTGTTTTTAGCCAATAGGGAGAAGGGGAGGATAGACACACAGAATGCAGTACCAGTTTTGGTGTTCGCAGAAGCTTTACACCTCTCGGCTGGAGCTCTGCTTGAGATGACCTTTAGTAACCTTTTGTCGCCTGACACACACACATATTATTTTGTCAGTCTAATGTGTTATCAGCAGAATCACTTTTAAGTCTGCTTTTCATTTAAGGAAAATCATTTAATTGTATATAATCAAAAGAGTATCCAATATATATAGTTTTCTTCTCGGTCAAGGCAGGCGGCCAAGTGCGTGCTCCGTAATTCTATGAAGTCTTGACCTTTGTAGGAATTAAACTGAATCAAATTTAACTTCGTTTTTTAGCCAGGAAGCTGCCAAGTGGATAAAGTTGTGGAGTTTAATATGCTTTTATTCCAGCTTATTGTTCGTCAGAAATGACTGTCCTAACTTCTTCTTGTACTGGTTTTTCCATCACATTCCTGTTACTGTCACAAAGACATGTAAAGAATTACGGAGACTGCTGTTTTCAGAGTGGCAGCAGTCTTCATCTTTGATTGGGGTTTGAGCTCAGCAGAACCTACAGATCAGTTAGAAATGTTTGTGTCTTTCCATTGTGTGCTGCTCATGGTCTCTTGGTGTTTCCACAGCGGCTAATAAGTCCTCGGCGATCATGTCCACCCACATCGTGGCCTGTCTGCTGCTGTACAGACACAGACAGGTAAGTCTGGCTTCTCTCTGCGTCACCTCGTCTCTCACAGTGTTTTCCCTACATGTTGTACAGTTTTTGTTTCTCTTCTTTTTCTACACCTGCTCCACTTTTTTCCAGCTTTTTTCCCGTTGTTCTGCATCCCACCCATTAGACTTCTTCCCTCAAATGTCTCATAAATCCACATCTTAGTAACGGACGTCTCTCTGCTGGACATCTCCCCAAAGGGATCAATAAAGTTCTATCTAATCTAATCTAATCGTGGTCTTCCTGCATCCTCTCTCACCATCTCTGTTCGTTAGTGGTGGGCCTCTGCCCTCTGCAGGCAAACTGATGGAAGTGGGTGGCAGTGAGAGAAAGTTGAAGAACTTCCCTCTCTCTCCTGATAAACTGTCCCATGCTGCACATAGCAGTGTTAAAGCCTGTTGTACTGTTGGTTTGGGTTACTGACTCTTGGTTTAGTTTAGTTTATAGAGTTGCTGATTTCTGAGCTTGCTTTTTGTTCCCTTTCCTTCAGGGGGTGGTGCTGTCCAAGCTGGTGGAAGACTTCTTCAACATGAAGGAGGAGATCCTGTCCCGGGACTTTGACCTGGGCTTTTCGGGAAACTCCGAAGATGTGGTCATGCGAGCCCTCCACCTCCTGGGAAACTGCGTCAATGTGACCAGCAGTGCTAATCGCAACGGGGAGTTTACTGTCGCACCCAGCCAGACTGTTCAGGCGCTTTTTGAGCTCAACTTCTACAGCAACGGCCTTTTCCACGTCTTCATTTCAGATGCAGTCATCGGTTAGTTATGCCAGCAGGTTTATGTGCATTACTCTTCAAGCAGTCCTCTCCCAAGTTTCATAAATACGATGAGAAAAGCTTGATTTTTTATTTTTTTAAAACAATAACTAAGTAACTTGATATTGTTGGTTATAGTCAGTGTGGTGTGTTGTGGGTACAGTTTACTGAAAATGGGTTCAACCATCACAAACTGGAAGGTTTTCCTTCCTTTTACTTTTTTCATCCTTTTTTTCCAGCCTGTAGCATCCTGTCACTGCAGCGAGAGCTGGCCATGGAATCTGAGTCTGATCAACAGCCTGGTGGTCTCGGTAGTCTCCTTCTCAGTCAGGAGAGACTGATCCGCAAGGCTGCCAGTCTCTCCCACTTCCTTATCAACGAGGTGGCGGTGGCGCCAGTAAGTTCTGCGTATTGTCACCATCTTTCCAAACGCTGCGCTGTACAAAACGAGTCCAACAAGTAATAAGACAAACTTTTTTGGAAGGACTTGTAGTACTTGACATTACTAGTTGCTTCTGAAGTGAAATGTAAAGAGACCATAACAAATGGGCTGAGCAAGACAGTAGAAATGTGGACCAGCCCACGTCAGTGTTGGAGTCACACCAGACTGATTTCAGTGTTTCTTCTCTGTCCCACAGCCCTGTCAGACAATTTACCAGGTTTTCCACGATGCAGTGACCCGGTTGATCCAGTATGGAGTTCTCTATGTGGCAGAGGTGAGTTTACAGAAGCAAGCTCAGCAGCTGGTGGACAAACACTGACCATGAGGACTAATGGAGGAAGTTGACTCGTGCTGGACTTCCTGGGATGTGCTGTTATTATATTTGCTTATCAGCAGTGGAATTTTCCCACGGCCCGCTAGATCTGATTTTTGTCTGTGTGTGTGTCAGGAGGACCAGGAGGAACTGAGCCCGAGCCCCACAGAGGAACCTTGGCCCAAGAAGTTCTCTGAACCCCTCTCCTGGAGAAGCGATGAAGAGGATGAGGACAGTGACTTTGGCGAGGAGCAGAGGGATCGCTATCTAAAGGTCTACTTCAACAGTACTTATCTAAACAGACTCTTTTGCACTTTGATGCCGACGTAGTTGATAGAAAAATATTTAGGGTCCAGTTTCCAGAACCATTTTCAAGTTCAAGTTTGGTGACTTCCGTTCACTGACGTTCTCCTCGTTTGTTTTTGTTGTCAATCAGGTGAGCGTTTCTGCAGAGCACCAGGAGTTCTTTGTCTTCCTTCAGCGACTGCTCAGCCCAGTGCTGGAGGCCTACAGTGGCGCCGCAATCTTCGTCCACAGTCTGAGTCAACCCATGGCGGAGTCCGACTACACGCAGAGGCTTTTCAGATACCTGCTTACTCGCACAGAGCGAGGAGTGGCTGCTTACGGTAATGCTGCAGGGTTTCCACACATACGATGCAACACAAGACATTTTAAATTTATCATACAGGGTTAGCTTCAGCTGGAATGAGGAAATCAAGGGGTAGGATTTTCTGAGAATATGATCAAGCTTCACTTACTTGAGCTGCAGATGAAAGAATTGATGAACTACTGAAGGCTTTTCTACATATAGTCCTGTTCGTGATTCATAGAGATTATCTGCCTGCTTTTGAATCTTATTCCTTTTCAGGTGAAAGTGCTACTCATTACCTGGTGAAGAACACAGTGAGGACATTCAAGGAGCTCGGGGTGAGTGTGTGCTGAATCTAACTTGTGGGCTCAGTGTTTTTAGATTATGTTTCTCAACACCTTTGTAGCGTATGGATGGTCTACTGAGTCCCCCACCTGGAGTTCAAATGTTCCTCCTGTCTTGTGATTGTTCTCTAGGTCCTAAAGGAGAGAAGAGAGAACAAGGTGACTACTCTGGAGCTAAGCAGCACCTTTCTACCTCAGGCCAATCGGAATAAACTCCTGCAGTACATCTTAGGTTTCACCCTGCTGTGACCAAGACACCCTCCAGCTCTGACCCCAGGCTCCTTCCAGCAAAGGGCTTCTACTGGTTACTTCTAAACAGTCCCAGGTGCTACTCTGTGGAAAGCTTTACCAGGAAGTGCCTTCATGTAAAAGCCGCTAACTGTTAGCTGTTAGCCGGAAGAGACTTGAAGCCAGTCTTCCCTTTGATTTTTCGTTCCAGTCTCTGACTCCCTTCTTAGAACTGTGCAGCTGATTAAAACACATGTATTGTTCTTTGAAGACGTACCTCTAGGGAACACCCTTTCTTTGCCAGTAACATCAAAAGGTTTTAATATGATCAAAATTTTAATCTTTAAAATAATATGCTCAAGCAGGTTAGGAAACGTTTCACTTTCACAGCAATCCGAACAAAGCGAGCTGCCTTTTCATCTATACAAGCAAAGTATGCATCGTACAACATAAGCGACACTCTTTCTGCTCGTTTGTAAAACTGCTGTATTCTCCAGTGCACTCTAATATCATTCAGTAGGAACAATGTGAACATGTAGTTTGATGAAAGGCTTATTTTTAAACAGATTCCTGTACATAGGTCACAAGGACAGCGTCTCTCCTTTCTAGTGCGTTTCTATACGAGCACTCTGCTGTCATCAAACTGAGACATACAGTGTCCTTGCAAAATGTGTACATATCCACATTTTCATAAGCAAAATTCTCTGTGTGAATCTAATTGTGCGTAGAGTCAAGGTCAGTTATTATGTTGGGTTAAGACATCGAAGCCGCTGGCAGCACAGCAACAGCTCAGACGTTTAAAAGTACCTGCTCAGCAAATGCAATTCGCACCCTGTTGGAAGTCTGGCCGAGCCGAGGCCACAAACTCACATACATCTACAGTGAAGTGCATTCAAACCGCTGATATCGAAGTGCATTCAGTTACACTTTTCATCATGATGGAAAGTGACCTTGATCTCTGTTTTTTCACTTTTCAATGAATGTTACATAGCACAGCACTGACAACACTTCATACCAGCCATCACATCCACTCACACTGAAATGCAGCCAGCTCAGACACTCTTCAGTCATGCCTTTCAGGGAAAGCAGATGTTTGGGATTACCACCTTTTTTTCTGTATTATAAACACACTGTATAAAAGCCTTTCTAGCACTGCTGCTGAGGGAGCTCTTTGCTCCAATAGCCGGGCATTTATTAGACAGAAGTACTGCATAGCCTGGTCGAAATAAACGGTACGTATCCACTGTGTAATCCACTTGAACAGCTCTCTCAAAGTTGGTTATTCGTGAGAACAGGACAGTGTCAAAGAACTCCTGAAGAACAGAGGAAAACATTTTTCTCCTTTACGACTGCTGTGAGCATCTGAAAACAAATAATACAATCAACTGCCAGCTTTAGTTATTCCTTCTTTTTGTTTATTCACTTTGAATTTCCAGCATCAATATGTTCCTTTCACAAAATCAATTAGAAAATGTACTTCAGGGCCGCCACTATAGCTCACCTGGTTGAGCTGGCGACCCGAGTACAGGGGCTACAGTCCCCGATGCAGCGGCCGTGGGTTCCAATCCCGCTCATGGTCCTTTGCTGCAAGTCCTTCCTCCATTCTTCTCCCCCACTTTCCTGTCTCTCTCTCAACTGTCCGATACAAAAAAGGCAAAAAAAAAAAAAACTTTAAAAAAAGAAAATGTACTTACTTCAAGTGCATTTTAAACCACCAGTAATTAGATCCTGGTCATTTCAATTTTTGCTCCAAAATGCAGATGTCAAAAAAATAAAAATTGTGTTGTAGGGGGACGGAATATAAACTCTGTGGCTGATAATGAAACTCAAAATGCAAAGTAAAACACACCTGATAGGGAAACCACACGGCGCTTGTACCTGCAGTTTTCAGTTTTGTTTGTAAAATAGCCTCACACTCAGAAGGCCAGTGTTTAGGTGTCGTTTTATAATTCAGAATCTAAATACAATCTAGACATGAACATAAACATGGCACTCGGTGGTGTATGAATGTGCACGCCTGGTAGCTGGAAGAGGAAGGAGCATGTTTGAGAGGGTCAAAGGAAGTTTTGTGAATCATCGTCATGCCTGGAGGGATTGACGACCAAACGTAAGGCCGACAGCGTGAAGACATTGGCGATCTGTCAGGGCATTAATGGGATATATGTAAATGAGTGTTTATACTGAAAGACTTTCTGACAATGGTCAGGCACACTACTTGTTACCATTCATTTAAATGCTGTTTTTTCCTCAACATTTAGCTTCATTTAATGTTACAAACATGCATATTTTAATGCAATTTGTCAAAACAATATAGAAAGTAACCCATAGATGGTGAAGATGAGTTGTAGTGGATTCAGTGAAAGACACCCCCAGCATGTTGAAGAACAGAACAGTATGTTCCCCAAATAAGAATGTGATCCGAGTGCACAACTCTTTATCCACGTTTAAGGCAACTCTGAGCCCACGATCTGTCAGTCGCCCTCACCGCCAAGATGAAACCACTATACGTACTGTACTGCATGTTTCCTCGCCGTTAATCATCGACTCTTCAATGTGAACTCTGCTTAACCTGAGAATGATGTTTTACTGTCTCGTGTGTGAATTATGTTGATGAGAAAGTCTCGTATGTGTAGGAGATAAACATGTGTTACCTCTTGAATGTGTCTCATCTGTCCCTGAAAAGGTCAAAGTGAGATTGTAGAATACTGGATGGCGTCGGTACAGATGTGATAAAGTTTTAATGAACTGCTCGTGGGAGTTGTTGCTGCTGAAGCTGCGTTAGCGACATCCCACTGCTCTGTGTAACGTCGTAGGATTTAAAAAAACAACATGCCTGTATCTGGGGAGCAGGTGCCTTTTTAATGCACTGTAGTGTTCTTCGGTTGTGTTTGTTTTTCTTTTGTTCTGGTTTTTGTGCATGTTAACAGCAGTTATTTCATGTGGAAATCCAAACGAACACTGTAGATTGTAACTTATAGACAAAATACACAAGTGGAGAGAATGTGTTGTTAATCTAAGAAGAATCACCAGCTACTAAAAAAAAAAAAAATCACTATTTTTTGTTCTTGCTATATCGCAGCGAAGCACAATTGGCATAGATTTTCTTTTTAAATAAATTAGTGATAGATTAACAATGGTCTCGTGTTTTTATTTGTGTGTTTTCAGCGGGGGCGGGGCTCTACATGATGGGTATCAGTGTCTTTATAAGTCAACATTATATCGCTCATTTTAAACAGCCAAAGTGCTTTCCAATAGAAAAAACAAGATTAATGGTATTCATTTACTTGGCTAGTTAAAATTTTAAGGCTAAAACCCTGCAGTATTCTATATTAAACAGATTTACTAGACAAATATTGAGGTTAGAAACTTACAGTTTTATACAAATGTATGTCTAATTTTGGTATTAGAGGTGCTACTTCACAATATTATGCATTATACAGATTTACCTGTGTAAATGTGAAGAGTTTGACTTCAGTATTAGATATTGTGTAAATGATTTATTTCAAATGAAGGTTAAGGCTCCATGATATTATATGTTACATAAGTTCACCTGACTTCTATAAACATAAAGGATAAGGCTCCACCATATCATATATTACCTAAAATGACCTGACTAATTTGAATACTTAAGTTAACACCACACAGATTTAACATTAAGGTTTAGAACTTGTTATATTATGTGTTCTAAAAACTCATGTACATATTAAGGCTAATACTTCACAACATGATTTACTTCACAAATCTACCTGTTTATTTAAATAAAAATAAAGGAAAAAGAAAAAACTTTTTTTAAAAACTGATAATTTAAAAAAAAGTACATTCACAGAAACGTAGAATATATAATTTTAAATATATTTCAGATAGTCCCAATTGAGAAAATAGTTTATTTAGAACATGCTCAAGAACACCAATGTTGACTAATTTCTATAATCCTGTTGTTTGCTTTATAATTTGTAATTTTGATCACAGTGGAGGCAGACATTTCCATTGTGCTGAGTTTTTAAAAGACGTTTTGATCGTATTTCAGACTCATGTCCAGTGTCTCTCATCCACTGGAGGCTGCTCGGTTTGGCCCCACGTTTGTGGAGATGTCTCTGATCAAAGCAGAAATACGTAGAGGGAAAAAATAGCCTCGACAGTCATGTCTTTTGTCCACCATTTCACTCCACATAAACCCTTGAGTTTTCTGTTTTTTCATGTGAAAACATGGCGCACGTTGCTCACATGAATAGAAGCCAAACAAGGGACACAAACACACGTCTGCAATAAGAATATGTGATAATTGTGTGAAAGTGTGAGCCTTAGTAAATCAATAGACACTCGCTAAAAAGTGGCAAGAGTTCTCTTTTGTTTTGATGTTTTTCTCCGTTTTATTTCACTGTCTCACGCCGTTGGCTGTCAGGTTGAGGAGGGAGGTGTCTTTGTGTTGGTAGAGGACAGGAGGAGGAGGAAGGTCTGTGGAGGACCAAGACGGACCGAAGCTTTTGTGGCAATGAGGACAAAATGGAAACGACATGTGTGCATCCTTCTGCCCAACAAGCAGCACCTGGACTGTGCTGTGAGGGTGAGTGTGGCGTCCGTCACGTTTACCTTTGACTATTCTTCATCTGTCATTAGCAGGGCTTTGATGAGCCTGTACTACACATGGGTTACACCTAATTCATGATTTACAAATGTGCCAGCTCTTCCAAAACTATATTTTATTATAATTTAACAGTATTAGGAGGACTTACTGTAACAACAAAATACTAGATGCATAATGTCGTAAACAAAACCCTGAAACTGTGGCAGAAACAAACAAAAAACAAAAAGAAAATCCTATTCGCTCTCTACAGCCTGCTACTGGCATCTGCGTCCTGTCACACCTGAACTTGTTCTATGGCTCTGGTCCAGGTTGTTTTCTCCTGACCAGATCCTTGCTGGTGTTGGATCTGCTCTCAGATGGACATCGCTCTGGATAAAAGCAGCGTCTGCTGATGAATCTGGAGAACTGTAGATTCGACAGCACATATCTGTATCTGTGATGCTTTATTGTGCTTTTCTTGTCTTTCCTGCGTGTCTTACAGGTGAGAGCCCGAGGCCGTGAGGTGTTGAACAGCGTGTTGAAGCAGCTCGTCATCTGCGATCTCCAAGTGTTTGGTCTGGCTCTTCTCAGAGGTCGGCTCACGTCTGAGTGGGAGGAAATGTTTTCAATTCATTTATTGTGGAATGCTGAGATTGAGGGAGGCTGCTGGTGATGAGTGAACTAGCTGTAAGAAAGAAAAGGGAGACAGATAGTCAGCCTGTGAGGACAAACAACATTAACGAGTGCTAATGAATATAACTAGACACTGTTGATTTGATGTATGTGTGTTTTTTCTAAGATCACGAATATCTCTTTGTCGATCTGGACCAAAAGCTGAGCAAGTACTTCGGCAAAAGATGGAACACAGGTTCTTTAAAGGTTTGTTTTTCTTCTTTCCTCATTTTTTATGTTAAGTTTAAGCTGTGGAATCCTTTTCTTACAAAATATATCTACAGTGAGCTCTTGAACTTACCCACAGTCATAATGTGTAATAAATTGTGTTGTATTGAGGGAAATGTTGTGCTTAAACTTGTATTTGTCACATTTTTGTTCAAGGAAAGGTGCATGCGTGGGTGTTCCTTCAAATATTAACTCGACCTTCTTGAAGTAGTGGCAGAAAGCTTTAAATGATGCGTGATTGTTCTACATTTCCAGGTCCCGTTCATCTTATTTCTGAGAGTGCAGTTTTATGTAGAGACCGGGCAGCTAATAATGTAAGTTTGCATTTTCTGGTAATACTTGTGTTTCAGCTGCTATTTTCTGCAGTGCACGTTCATTTGGCTTCTTGGCAGCAACATTATGGAAGTAACTGTTAATACCAAACACAAGAAAATGGGAGTCTGACGTGGTCTCGGCTTCTCTCAGGAGCAGCAGAGAGCAGCAGCTCTACTACTCTGAGCTGAGGCAGAAGGTGCTGCGATCTCAGAGCCGCCATCAGGAGGCTTTGTTCTTCCAGCTGGCAGCCTCGGCGCTCCAAGCTGAAGTCGGAGATCTGGAGCAGACAGATGAAGAAGGAGAGGAGAGAAAACAGAGGCATTGCTTTCTTCCTGAAGATTACTTCCCCTCTTGGGTAAGAAAAAGGAAAAAGTTGTAACAGTTTGGACTGAACTTCAACAAAAATAGTGTTATCCAGCTGTGCTTGTATCTTCAGCTGATAAAGCGTAGAGGGAGAGACTTCCTGCTCCAGCACTGTCCGGTGTTGCACGGTGAACTGAGAGGGCTTCCACGCAGCCAAGCCGTCCTGCGGTTTATAAAGGAAGCCAGCAGCCTGCAGGACGGAGCAGTGACCTTCTACAGGATGAAGCAGGTCAGACTCAGGGTTTAGAGTCACTGAGGAAAACCACCAGAACTCCGACGGACGGGTCCCCAGTGCATCACAGGGCCAACTCTGAACCCATAAAGAAGAATTTAAAGCACATTATGACAATTTTTGCTGTTGTAGAATCTGCCTCTGTTGTCATTTTTAGGAAACATGTAGCAATGACACAGGGTTCGGTGAGGTTAGGTTAACCCTAACCTAAGGTTAACCCTAACCTAACCGAACCCTTTAAGGCCCTGTGGGTGTAAAACATTGCAGGTAGAGCTTTCATTTTTCATTTTATTAGTCCTTGATATGATATTCCCTCCACATTCTGAATTATTCATTCGTCTGTCTAACTTGTGTTGGTAGTTTCTAAGACAAGATGGCACATTCAGAGTCTTCATTAATGAGAATATCTCTGCTGCAACCTTTTGTTACGTGGCTTTTACTTTGAAGTACTTCTTCGCCTGTTATTTCACACGTAGAAGAAAAAAGAGCTCAGAAGTTCAATCCTTCTTGGTGTGGCAGTGAAAGGAGTCCATATTTATCAGGTGGGTCCTCCAGAGCAACAACTTTGGAATTCGTTTTTACACATACACATTCATTCCTAAAGATTTCTACTTGCAGGTGTTAATAAACTGAGTTTTTCTGAATTACAGATGATGTGATTTCTCCACACAGGAGGTGGAAGGGAGGCAGTGTATGCTGTATGACTTTTCCTGGATCGATATCGACCGCCTCACTTTCCAGGTTGATCGTAGAGACCGCACCAATCTGACACACAGTAAATATTCACCTAAACTTTTACAACAGCATTTTAACTTCCGAGTCTTTCTAACTCTGCAGGGCAGCAGGTTTGAGATGGCTGCAGTGGGCTCTCTGTGCCTCCCTAAGCTGGTGTATCACACTCATTCAGCCTTCCACTCCAAACACATCCTGAAGCACCTCAGCGACAGCCACCGACTCCACATCAGCACCAGAGATGCAGTGAGCTGCATCCAGCAGCTGGAAAACATGAAGGGTCAGCAGCCTGGCTAGAACACGGAGTCGGTCCAACTCCACATCAGTCTCAAATGTTTTGCTTTGAAACCAAAAAATGGGATTTCTTAGATCATCACACTTCCAAGTTGTTTTGTTGTCTGTCTTTCAGCAGCCAGTCAGCTCTACAAAGAGGCCTACATCTGTGATGCAACACGTCTGAGAGAGAGACTTGGCTGCAGCGACCTCACTTCATCCATGTCGGACTGCAGCGTTGTGGTGGAAGCAGCCGCCGACTGGGCCGAAGAGGAGGAGGAGGAAGGCTCTCCATCAGGTCAGCAGAGACGAGGGAATGTGTGCAATGTCACTTTTTATTACTGACAAAAGCAGACCAGGAATTCTACTCTTGGGAAAATAGAAAACAACAACAAAAAGAGGTTAGAACTGCGGAAAAAAATCAACTCATGCTGCTGATTGGTTCATTAGCTTGTGTTTAGCTGACTTTACTTGGACACCAACAGTTTACAACATTTAACTGCTTTTAATAACTTCCTTATTTCAGTCTATGTTTTGTGTTTACGTTGTTGTCAGAGGCTGAGCTGTGGTTGGACGAACCGGAGGAGGTTTTTGTCGACGACCCGGCGGAGGTGTCCTGGCTGGCTGAGCTGCTCCACGGTGTGTCTGTGGACGGACCTCTGGTGTTCCCGTCCTCCGACTGGACAGGTTGGTTCAAAAAGCACAACCAAAATAAGCTTTTAATCGTGTCCACCTCTCTTGTGTCATTTTATCTCCTCTTCCGTCATCAGCTGTCACCATGGAAATGAAACAGGTGAGCGGACTGCAAGTGTGTCTGTTTGAACATTTCCAGCACAGTCCTGCATCAAAGGCTGCAGTGTTTTCTCTGATGTTCAGGTTCTGTGGAGGAGAGCTGATGAAGGGGCATCTGTGGACTAATTCACAGCCAGAGGCAAGACGGATTTATGACATGTTCTGCAGCTCCGGGCAAGAAGACACCTGAAATCTGTGGCCCAAATGCTTCACTAACGGTTAAGTTAGTAGTAACACCCCCGAACTAACTCCTTTCTGTATTAAACTACCATAATAATCACAATATAATATTATCACTAATATTTTCATTGCAACAATTGCCTGAGGAATTTTCTTCCATTGACAAAATCATAAAAGTCTTCCAGATGCTTGGCAATATCACGTATCGATGTGTTTTGCTGGTTGCTCACCGTCAACACAGGTTCCATGGTGTCATGGGGAGTCCTCTGGACTCTGGTGGAATCTGACTTTGGAGCGGTTGGACTGTGGTTTAAAACTGGTTGCGCAGTGGTGGGATGGTGTCTAGGGCCACTGGTTAACCCCACCACCCATCATTTAGTTCTTCCTTCCTGGTTTTAGGCACAAATCAGAAAATGCTGATTTTAGTGGACTGCTTCAATGTGTAGACATGAAAAATAAATGAATCATGTAAAAAAAAAAAGATAAATATGTGTCATATCTTATTATCATTTTGTAACGACTCATGGTGGTAGAAATTATGATTTTTAGTTTTTTGTCCGACACGGAGGCAGCAGGACCGACACGGGGGCCTCA